AAAAAAAAAAAAAAAAAAAGTTCATTATATTATCACCAGTATGTTATTTCAGGTGAACTTTAAAATACTTTGTCAAGCTCCTCCCTAATACTTCATAGCAAACATGTTTGTTTTTGTAGAGGCAGGCTCCTTCTCTGTTACCCAGGCTGGAATACAGTGGCATGATCATAGCTCTCTGCAGCTTTGAACTCCTGGTCTCAAGTGATCCTCCCAGGATTACAGGCATGAGCTGCTGTGCCCAGCCTCGTAGCCAAGTTTTAAAGTATCTTCTGTGATTATGTGTATTTTAGTCAATAAAGCTGGGATACTGGTTTCTCCCTTACAGAGTAGCAAGCGTTTTCTGGTCCGGGCTATCTTTCCGCATCTCTCAAGGTAGAGGGACTTAGGGAATGTGCATAAGAAAGGCGTGATTACTATGCTTGGATTACTATGCTTGGATTGAGTCAGACTGAGTGCACCTCCCCCATAGAGTGTAAGATCTACAAAGGCTGGAATTTTGACTTATCCATTTTGTCACTGGAGTATTTCCAGTTCCTAGAACAATGCCTGGTGCCTGGTACGAAAGAGTAATATATTCTGCAGATGCTTGGGGCACATCAGTGAAGAAAACAGATCCCTGCCCTCATGGACCTTGCTTTTTAAATTCTGGCTGTTCCTTAAATTCACCTGCAGTGAATGGTTATCCTGCATCCGACTGCGCAACTCAGAACCTGGGAGCCATTCTTGTTTCCTTAGTTTCCTTCATCCTCAACATCCAGTTAACACCAGGGCCTCCTAGACATCTTCAGAATCTGTCCACTTTCTTCATCCATGTTGCCCCTTTCCAGGTACCGTCATCTCTCCAATTACTATAAAAACTCCTAACTTACTTCTTTGCCCCTAGTCTTGCTTCTCTCAGAAACATTTCCTCCCTTGTAAAGAGAGAGAGCTTCCCCAAAGGTAATGACAGTGTCACTCCCATGCCCGGAACCCTTCAGTGAGTCCTCAGTTTGAAGTCCCAGCTCCTTATGATTGGCGTGGTCCTTTGGGACCAGCCCTTTCTTTCCAGGGTCAGCTCTTGCCGCCCCCTCTCCCATGCTCCAGTGCTGGGGTCCAGACCAACTGAACTTCTCCGAGAAGCTTTGAATGAAGCCATTGTCCCTCTTACCTCTGGTCCTTTTGCCTTGAACATGCTTTGGGTTTTTGTTCAAATTTATTTTTTCTAGGAAGTCTTACCCGCTCACTAGACTAGGTTAGTTGCTCTCAAGAGAGTGGCTTATGGTACCTGGTACACTTCCTTTCAGGGCTTCACACACTTGTTTGTAATTACTGATTAATTACCGTACTTTCATTTCACTAGACTGGGGTTTCTCCACCTTGGAATGACATTCCAGTGCTGACATTTGGAGTTGGAGAATTCTTTGTAGTGGGGACTGCCCTTCACACTGTAGGATGTTTAGCAGCATCCCTGGCTTCTCCCGTCTAGATTCCAGTGGCATACCTTCTGCTCCTTTCCCCAGCTGCGACAACCAAACATTTTTCTAGACACTGCCAAATACCCCCTGGAGGGGAAGATTGCCTGGTTGAGAATCACTGTGTTAGACCAAACTGTTTGAAGGCAGGACGCATATTTGGTGTGTTTTGCTTGGCTGGGTCAGTGAAACTTCACGCAGAATATGTGCAAACTGGGTGTTATAGGCTGAGCAGGTGTCCACCACAGACAAAGAGATGGGAAGAACATTATGGGGCAAGAGGACGGCACACCCAAACTCCTAGAATCCGACATGACCTGGCATGTTCCCAAGGCTGTGGGCCATCCTGTGTGGCTAGCATGTGACTGCCCACAGCAAGCAGACAGCAGCTGACCCTGTAGAGGGGCAGGTGCAAGTCCCAGAGACCTTGTGTGTCACACCCAAGTGACTTTGTCCTTTAGGCCAGTGTTCTCAACTGTAGTGTCGCAACACATGGGTATGTTGTGGTCATAGTCACTTCCGAGGTGAGGTGTCTCAAGTCATTTATAATGAAAAACAGGGTTTTGAAATTTATGAATGACTCACCTAAACTCAAAAAGCAATTAGAGCAAGCCACTATGCCTCTCACTCATTTGGCATTCTGATGTGTTTTCTGCACTGGGAGAGGTGTTTGTGACCTATGCTGCCCCTGCACTATGCGTGCTGGGGGCAGTGTGTCTCGGGTGAGCTTCATGACCCCGAGTGTGTTGGCAGAAAAGAGGCTGAGGGTTGCTGCCTGTGGTACCAGGAAGACTCATCTGTTTTTAAAACAAGCAAGTAGCACAATTAAATTCCCATTTTAGGATAGACCCTTTGACTGCAAAGTAAAGAATGGATGAAGGGCCACATTGGAGAGAGGGGGACCAGTTAAGGGACTAATGCTGTGAGCCAGGCATGAGATGATGAGAGCCTGAATTGAGACAGAGGCAGGAGGGTTGATGGGGAAGGCTTCAGATTTGAGTGCTGTTATGGGCATAAATAAAATCAATAGGATATTGTGCTTAGACAAGGGAGGTGAAGGCCGAAGAGGTGAGCTGAGATGCCACCTAGGTTTCTGGTTTGGCTGATTAGGGATAGGGAGGATGATTTGAGAGAGAGGTTCTGGGTGATGATTTAGGCATGTTATCATCGGGAGCTTGGCAGGGAGGAGAGGAATGGGCTGAGGGTTGAAAGGTTCCTGTTGGGTACAATGTGCACTATTCAGTTGGTGGCCACTGGAACCCCAAACCTCACCATTACTCACTATATCCATGTAACAAACATGCACGTATACCTCCAAATCTATGGATAATTAGCCATAATCGTCATCATTGAGAGCTTGTGGGAGATCACTGTGGTGGTATCAAAGTGAGAACGGGGATTTGGGACTCAACAATGAAGAGGCAGTGGGAGAAGCAGTGGCTATGACTGAGGCTGTTCAGGAAAAGTCTAGAATAAGAGGAGAAGAATGTCAATGTCAGTACTTCCTGGGCAGCTGGACTGTAGGGAATAGAGATTGAGCAGGAGAGTTCTGAGAAATGGGATAATTGGGAGAGAGTGGGAGAAAAGAGTAGTAAACAGAGTTGAACGTGTCTCTTTGTGTCAATCGGCAGATCTGCCCGGGCTGGGTGGTGTTGGAGACCAACCGTGGCACTCTATGAAATTCACATAGCCTCTTGTCCTTTCCAGGTGGCAGACCCTCATTGGTGGACTTTTGCTTCATGTGTCCTGGAAACTGGGCTGGGTAGAGATCAACAGCAGTTCAAGGTATAACCTCTCTGTGCTGGACTCATGCATGATTCACACTCTGCTTGCTTTCGATATTATATAATTCCATATGGTGTTACACTAGAAACACAGAAGTTTATTTATTTACTTATTTATTTATTTAAGAGACAGAGTCTTGCCCTGTCTCCCAGGCTGGAGTGCAGTGGCACAATCTCAGCTCACTGCAACCTCCACCTCCTGGATTCAAGCAATTCTTGTGCCTCAGCCTCCCAAGTAGCTGGAATTACAGCTGCTTGCCACCATGGCGGGCTAATTTTTATATTTTTAGTAGAGATGGGGTTTTACGATGTTAGCTAGGCTGGTCTTGATCTCCTGACCTGGAATGATCCACCTGCCTCGACCTCCCAAAGTGCTAGAATTACAGGTGTGAACCGCCATGCCCAGCCAACACAGAGGCTTATTTGAGGTGTTTGATATCTTAATTCCTTCTAACTTTGAGAGTCAGTGATTTTATTATCAGATAAAATTTGAATAGTATTTTCCTAAGTAATAATGCCACTAGTATAGTATGAAGATCAAATGATACATTGATGTTGTGTGGGGAAAAAAGTTAATTGAGATATGTATTTTATAATGTCAAATTAATGTTGCTTTGTTTTGATCATAGGATATGATGAATGCAATTACATTAGCTTGAATAATTTTTTTAGTAAATTTCTTATTTTAAAATTATTTCTGGCTGGGCATGGTGATTCATGCCTGTAATCCCAGCACTTTGGAAAACCAAGGTGGGAGGATCACTGGAGCCCAAGGGTTTGAGACCAGCCTGAACAACTTAGGGAGACCCCGCCTCTACAAAAATAATAAGAAAAATATTAGCCAGGTGTGGTTGTATGTGCCTGTGTTCCTCGCTGCTTGGGAGACTGAGGTGGGAGAATCACCTGAGCTTGGGAGGTCAAGGCTGCAGTTTGCTGTGATTGCACCACAGCACTCCAGCCTGAGCCACAGCAGGAGACTGTGCCTCAAAAAGATTCCTACCTATTGATAAGTTAGAATAATACAATGAACTCCCCTACCCATTACTCAGATCCCCTTATTATTTTACCATGCTTTTCTTATCATTTTCTCTTGATGTACTGTGCATGTATATACATGTATGTGCATACATATGTATACATAAATACATAAACTTTTTTTTCCTGAACTTTTTGAAAATAAGCTGTAGATTTGACAGGAAGTATCTCTTTTCTTTACTTTGGAATTCTTTAGGATGATTTCCTAAGAGCAAGGGCATTCTCTTACATGACTGCAATAAAATTATCAAAATCAGGGAGATATTAACATTGATACAATACTACTTATTATCTCATTTAAAGACCATATTTTGCCAGTTATCTCAGTAGTATCTTTTATACCCCTCCACTCCAAAATTCTAGTTCAGAATCCAGTCCAGATCACACATTACATTAGTTGTTATGATTCTGTTAAAACAGCCTTTGAAATACATTTAAGAGAAATTTTGGCCGGGCACAGTGGCTCGCATCTGTTATCCCGGCGCTTTGGGAGGCTGAAGCAGATGGATCACTTGAGGCCAGGAGTTGGAGACCAGCCTGACCGACATGGTAAAACCCTAATTCTACTAAAAATACCAAAGTAGCTGGGCATGGTGGCACATGCCTGTAATCCCAGCTACTTGGGAGGCTGAGGCAAGAGAACTGCTTGAACTCAGGAGGCAGAGGTTGCAGTGAGCTGACATCACGCCATTGCACTCCA